ACATTCATTCTGAGATTCGCCTTATGGATGGTAAAATTTTTTCATGTCTCTGCCAAGTCAAAGGGGAAGGAGGTCAACTGCTCCCGTTAAAAAACTCTATGTAATTGCGAATTAGTTTCCCAACAACGCTCCCTAGCAACTAAGAAAGAGTAGTTGCTAGGGAGGAGGCACCCTTAGCATTTTCAGCATATCAAGATGGGGCATCCTCCACAATTTTAGTAAATCAAGAAATGAACTCAGTATTATGTATTATTCCGCGTAACACGAGGGACATGCAAGTTTTCAACTAAGCCTTAGGTGGGAAGGAGCAACGGAGAACGCGAGTTTCCGGCTTCTTCTGCCAGTAATCATTTCACCCTTCTCGGTGCTACTACCCTCCTAATGCTCGATAAAAGCTATATCCCTTGGCCCGAACCGCATAACAGCGCAGAAATGGCCCGATCCTTTGTCAACGTATCCTTAGTCCCCGGTCTCTACAGTGCTAATATAACAAGGATTAACACGTACACTGAGTTCGCTTTCGATACAATGCTGATATTACAAGGAATAACTCGTAACACTGAATTCATTTCTTGATATGCTAACATTGTGATAGGTGGCACCACGCACCCAACTACATTTTCACCGGCTTCCTCTGGACTGTTGTCAGCTCCGAAGGCCCATATCACAAGAATAAACTTTTCTATATATCAGATCTGCGGGCTGAGTTTGGGCGATAACTTTCGTAGGAAAATGTGCTCTACAGGATTTCTAACGACCAAGTGAATTTTGAAAGCTTACATCTTATCACTCTGCCTATTGGCCACTTGCAATGATTTCTTTTACTGCTGATGTTTTCTTCTTTCTGACAAATGCGATCCTAGAAAAATAATAAGGAGCAAGATAGATGCGAAAAGCAATTAGACACATTTCATGGATATTATATGAGGTGTTGAATAAAAAGTGACATCAATACTTTGAAAGACTTACAGCAGAAGTAAGTTGAATTTGAGAGGTCGCATGATCATCATGAACTCTGCAAGCAAATGCATTCCCAGCTTGTCATTTCCGTGGAAGGAAGAATTGTGCTTTCGAAGATGTAATTAATACCTCAAATTCATTTTCATTGAAATTGCAAGGAGAGGAACATAACCTGAAGCTAGAGCAGAAGATTATCATCGAGAGGGGAGCAGCCAGGAAGGAATTAAGGCGAAAAATTGAAACTGCAGGAGAGCGTCATGCAAGATTTCAACAAGAGCCCAAGCAGGAAGGGATAAGGCGGGCAAATAGAGTTCTGCCAACGGCAAGACGCTGAAAGAGCGAGAGTTCGTAGGCCGCAAGAAAGGCATTTCCAGCGAGATGCGCGCCACCCATAGCATGCTGAGAGAGCTTTAATCAGAATGTAACTGGAAGAGGATGAGAAGAGATAATGCGTTTGGAAGACAGCTATGAAGAAGCTCGGGCTGAAAAAACCGGAGCACAAAACCCAAAGCATCTCAAAATTAGTTCGAAGAGTAGGAAAGCTTTTACTGAATGCTACAGCCATGGCACTATCAGTATACACTTTTTAACCGCACCGAGGAGCTCCACCTACTGAACCCCTGAAGCGAGAAAATTTCATGAACATGTTCGCAGCAACAAAGCGCCTTTGCATTTGCTTCCTTGGGAACATCACGCGGACATGGCCCTTACACTGTTCGGATTCATGGTGAGATCGATCACTCGCGACTCATCCATTCATTGAGTGCACATCATCAAATGCCTTTGCACAAGCATACAAAATGCTGAATTAAGTTGCATTGGAGGGAGATTAACATGCTGCTGGAGAAAAAAGATCAGCAAAACCTGTGAGAATTTTGTTTAAAACGCTTCAAAATGGACCAGGGAAATAAATGTGACAAACCACGCCTCTTCGTCATGATCACGTGCAATCATGCATGAAAAGAAATTGTTGAGCAAATGCGCTGTGGGGGACGGCTTCATGTAGAGCAGACACCGTCGCTCGAGCTTTCGACATGAAGCTTAGGGAGCTTCATAACGATTTATTCAAGCAGCAGATTTTGAGCTGTGAATGTGTGTCTCTTGAAAAGAATGGCAGAAAAGAGGAGTTCTACACTGCCATATTGATCACATTGGTAGAGCACGAGAGGTAGCGACGGAGAAGTACTTTGTCGATGGAGATGCAGCACGCACCGGGCCTTTAAATTGAACGAGTAACACGAACTGTAATGCGCTGAAGGCGATGTGCCTGAGAAAGAGATGCATGCTCGCACATTGGTCTCTGTGCAATGGTCGGAATTATTCTACTTTGATCAACAGGCACCGAAGTGAGGTCCTTCAGTCTCCAAACTCTACTCCTGAACAGGAAAGGTCCAAAATCGTTTAATAGTCTGAGGATTTTTGGCGGAGTTGCTCATGACACTTTTGAAAAGCAGCTAAGCTCTGGGACTGGTGAATGGTGATCCTGACTACGAAGTTGCTCGAGCGAAGCATTCGAATTCCACATGCAACGGCGAAAACCACTCGAGCTCAGCATTCATGACAATTACAGCACATGTTCCAAATGGAGGCAGTCAGCAGGAGGCCAACACCTGTCTGTCATTTTTTCGGGTGAGTGGACCCTTAGAACTGTAAACCTCGTGCTAGGAGATGTCATGAGTAATCTGCCGTTTGGAGGAAAGTTTATGATCACGGAAGGAGATTTCAGACAGTTGTAGTGAGGGAACGAGAAGAAGCCCCTGAAGATGCTTGTATCAAGAATCCTTTTTGTGCCAGCATTTTATCACACTTTCCACTCGGCCAACATGTTGTACGAAACCACAACGGAGTGAGACAGAAGCGTGGGGAAGCAGTAGCTAATGAACGCGTGGCAGGCAAAACAGACACTGTATCCATACATCTGGACAGCCCTCACCACACATGTGAACGTCTGCGTCTAATACAGAGTGATCGGAACTGCTTCATAGAATTTTCATTTTCGTCTTCTGGAACATATTCAGAAGACGAGAATGGCCTTCTGGATCTGCCCGACGAAATCAAGAGTGATGGGAACTCGATCACAGAGAATTTTGAACAAAGAATTGGGGTTTAAAACGTCGAAAATCTAGCACAGAAAGCAGCTGCTGCATCTAAAGAAAGCCCATATGAGCGAACCCTGTCTCCAGTGAATGGTGAGCCATTGGAAACGAGAACAAACAAAAGTGTGGACAAAGTAGAGTATCGCGACTTAGAAGTTGCCTTCATCTACCCATTTGAAGTCCTTGTGATTTTGCTGCAGTCTCGGCGTTCTATACAATGGGACGAGACTAATAGTTAAGCAATGGGGCCAATTTGTTTTCCGATGTACATACATAGCTTTGCCCCACGAAGTATGGGAAAGCAGTGCATTTTTCTTTCTCGAATATACAACTAGACCGTTGATGGTCTTCCTTTCGACAATTTTCTATTCGTCTTGCCTTTGCAACTGCTATCAACATGGCTCATGGACAGACATCATCGAGAGTCAGAGTATATCTTCCTGATGATGTTTTTCTCATGACCAACTCTACGTTGCACTATCGAGAGTTCGCAGCCCGAACGCGATCGAAGTACTGTCTCTTCGAGAGAAGGTCCGAAATATATACACCCAAGAACATCTTATGAAAGAGCGATAACGAAGACATTGGAGAGCAGAGGGTGAGGCGCCTCAAATAAAAGTCTGTTCCACGTGCAGTAAAAAGAATGTATAGGGTCAGCCTGGTAGCCCTAGCTAATAAAAATCTCACAGCAAGTAATAACTCGCACCAAGACAAAAGCCCTGCTAAAATGGATCGGTGTAAAGGTGCTACAGTTGCAAAACCTACAACATTCGTAATCATAAATACTTGAACGCAAAATAAGCACAATCATTTCAATAAAGTGTGAGTGTCGTATTTGAATCTACATTGAGCAGCAGAGAACCATCATGTGCCCTTTTCAAGCACACGTGATTCGAAACGAAATTGTTCAAAAGCAACGAAGGGCCATTGCCGCACCCCACAGATTCGTGGCTTTTTGAGAAAGCTGAATCGGTGAATCTGGCACTTTTTACTGAAGCCAAAATCCTGGAAAGGTATGCGCTGCAAACATGCACATCTTCAGTCTTCTTTAAGTAGCTTCGTAAGATAGCTCCTCTGTGGAGAACATGGCTATCAGACAAAACTTGACAAAGCCGCTCCAGTAACCATGGGATTTTTCGGGTGGGTCTAAATTCCTACAGACCTGATTGTGCTGACTGCACATGCTTTCATATGATGCGTGGGGTATTTTCGTCGCATTAGTATACAGGCCTGATGACATTTCTTCTCCTTTCTATTCCTACCAGTGAGGTGAGGAGGTGAGAAAAATACGCACGTTGCAGATTTGAAGCATTTTCGGCGAGGCCGCTTCAGTAAGTCTGATACTTTTCCAAAAACCATGATTTGAAAATTCGTACGAGCATATATGACATACATAACATATAATTTTCTTATGAATCCCATTCACGAAAATTTTGAGTCATAAAACGTGTTTCATCATCAGAGTAAAATCGTCAGTCGATTGAAATGCCTTCGGTCATTAATCGTTATGTTTTCCAGAGCAGTTTCAAAATGAAGTGTAGAGATGAGTGCCAATATGTAAACAAGGATCTTTTGCCTTATATATCGCACTGCAACCTATGGCTCAGTAACATAATGACGTGATCTTCCCTATCACAAGTATAAGGGAGACAGCAAGAAGTCTCATCCGCTACTGACGGTCGCCCTGGGTGACAGCGAGCGGTGGAACTTTAGTGAGTTGAGTTCGAGTTAAGGGTTTTGAATTGGTTGTCACATTGGTTTGAGAGGATGATGCATTTTTTTGAATACTATGCAAATCATCTCGAGTCGCCTTAGGCCTCTGAAGAGGACGATAGCGTCGAAATGTTATGCCGTTGAATTAATAAACTGTTGAACCTAACAACCTCGCACCTCACAAGAATATTTTAATCATAAAACCGCTAGTGATGTAAGACCAATAATCTCATGGCCACCAGTATTGGATGTCTCTTCATCGGAACAATAAATAGCCGGTCTATTTCAACAGCAGCACGCCAAATCAAACTCGATCATGGAGAAGGTCAAATACGATATATTCACAGGAATGAAGCCACGGTACCACGCAACGGAAGCGAGGAATTACCGTCAGGTACGATTCTATTCCACTCCGGTGCCGAAACTGCCCACCGTGGTATATCTTTCGTTGTAAGACAGCCGCTGGCCTGTGAAGAGAGGTTTACGCCCATAAGCGACAGGCTGAGAACCCTTTATCATCCGTCGCTCAAAGTATTTGTTATTGTCTGTCATGCGCTGGCACCGTCTAAGAATAAAAACGATTAGTATGAAAATTTTGTGGAGGAAGTAGAGCACGCCTGTAGGCGAATTCCAAAAGGATGTGCTCCTATTCTTTTGGCAGACATGAATGCAAAAGTGGGAAGGTAAGTAGGAAACGAACAAATCATCGGCAGGTACACCCCTGACGCACCGAATGATCGCGGACGCATACTCACAGCAATGTTAACCAAATTAGGATTACGTGCGTGGAACGTGCGTGGAAGTTTTTTCGTAAATGGAAAGGACGATTATAGACTTGTAGAGGTCCTATTGGAATGGTGCACAGCCAGACTGACTTCATTTGCTCTCCTCCATCTACAACAGTTCTCGACTACGGAGTCCTAAACAATTTTTCGTTCCAATTGGTGTTGGAGGGATTGACGTAAGTGACCTATTGGAATTTCTACTTAGTTGTAAGTTCAGCGGTCTGAGTTGCAACTAGTTAATAACTGGTCTACGTCAAGCTGATAGGTAACACCCTGCAGTTTCGATACGCTTTCAGGCCTTTGAAAACGACGATCTTGTCGAAACGTCAGGCGAATAAACATTCTACCATTGAAAAACCTGTGTGGCACAGAAGCATTGAACAATATTAGTACCGATGCCCAGGTTTCGACGCGAACATGGAAGTTGCTTAAAAATGTACCGCCGAATATTTTTCGCCTAGTGAGAGAAGCGTTGTCGTTGCGGCAAAAAGTGGTTCTCACCCGACATTCACTCTTATTTCTCCAGAGATGCAAGAAGAATCTTGTCGCCGCCTTCTGTCGGAAGAAATATGGAGAAGGATTGAAGGTGAATCGAAGCGCCTGTGTGTTCTGACGCCAAGGCCACGCTCTGCGCCAAGTACAGTTCCCTGAAGAACGAACAACGGGTAAGAAATTCTAATAACGATCACTTCTCGTCCAATTTCAACCGATCCGAACGACAGAGCTCGCAACGGCTAAACGTCATACCTGAAACGGCAAGGGTCACCATAGTAGGCGATGCACAGATTTCATCGAAAGCTATAGATTTTCTGAGCTTGGGGCTAGCGTTCTCATTAACGCAAACGATCAACCCGCTTACCATTCGTAAAATTCTATGTGGTTTGCAAAAGTTCAGGGACCAACTGAGGACGAAAACACGACGCGACTCCCAGGGACAGGTAGTTGAAAGGCTAGAGCGTACTACTCCAACACCTATTCCATTCCCACGGTCATTCTATAAAGAATCTGATCCCTTCCCGGAAGCGGATATTAAGTTTCGAATCTTGTCGACAAGAGTTCTGAACGCGCTTAATAGGTCCAAGTGCGAAAAGCGCTGCAGTCTGACACGCGAGCAATGGGAAGGGTTCAAAGAAATCCGGGAAAGAATAAAATGTCTGAATACTATTTTTCTCTGAACCAGTTGGGCTACGCACGCTAAAGCGTGCACCACATGCCCGCTGCCGCTTACCTACGACTTGTTAGAGGACCAATA